TTACATTAGTACTTGTTCACTACTAATTATCTGTTTATCTTTTAATCACAGATGGAGTGAGGACAAATGTTCATACCACGCCACTGATAAAGAAGTGGAAAAATGCATTACAAGGTAGCTACAACTTGCCCCTGACAGGGATGGAGGAAGAAAGAAGAGAAAGCTAATGTGTCAAATGTCTACATCACTATTTTGTTTTATTTTTTTTAAACAACATTTTAAGTGTATTAGGATGTTCCCTGATACTTGAACAATTTGTTTCTTTCATTTGCATTTATATATATATATATATGTATATGTATATATATATGTGTGTGTGTGTGTGTGTATATATATGTATGGTATGTATGTGTGTGCGCCAAATTCTGAAGAAAGAAACATCTTGATACATTTTTAATAAACGTAATACAAATAAAATTATAAATATAAAATTGCACAAGACGTGTGTATATATGAAATGTATATGTTTGTGCAATTGATTTTGTTCAAGTTTATTTAAAAAAAAAAGTTTGACTTTATACTTCTGCAATTATATATATATATATATATATATATATATATATATATATATATATATATATATATTTGTTTGTTTATTATTATTTTAATGTTTTATTAAAAATGTTTCAAGATGTTTCTTCAGAATTCTGCAGTACTTTTTACAAGTTTGACTTGGATATTTTACGGATTGTCATTGGTATTTTTAAGATGTTTCTTGCTATATCTTAAATTGGTTTATATATTTAGGTTTATATAAAATTTAGCTGTTTTTTTACAAATTTTTTATTCAAGTCTATTGGGGAAAACAGGGTTGTTTTAAAAAACATCTGTGTTTGTGTGTAATTTTTAGATTTTTTTGTTTAAATCTTTCTGTGTCTTTATTGTGTTGTTTTTATATTGATATTCTTGTGCACTACAAAATTATTTATAAAATTTTAGTACTATTTTTTTCATGCAATCAATAAACGTTTAACATTTATTTATTTTGTCATTTGTCTGATTATTTTCGTTACAGAATATGTATGCAGTTTGCACTTTATTCAAAGGTTAAACGCAGTGCTTACACTTTGTGTTTGCTGTTATATAAATTCAAATGGTTGTAATACCATATATCAAGTACCAATGTAATACCAAAAGGTTTTATAAGGTGTATAAATACGGAGTCGCGCCAGCTCCGGGCCGCAGCGCACATTACCCTCGCGCCGATTCCGGCGCGGATGCGCAGCGTCGGCTCGCTTACGGCCGCCGCATCTGGCCCGCTTGATTCGGGCCGGAATCGGGCAGTGAGTCCACAGGCATCCGGCCCGAGTCCGGCAGCCGAAGTTGGGCCGAGGGGTTAGTCTCCGGCAGGCGACAATCTAGCCGGAACTGGCCCGAGTGTATTTTGCTATCTGGGACGGTATATGGACGGCCACGAATCAACCAGTTTAAAAGGGCCGCAGTGTTTAAAATAACCAAATTAACGTACACGAATAACAAACAATCATTTGTTTTAGTCAGGAAGCCTTTTACAAGTAAGCATGTGTTGATTTACTCACCAGATATGTTTTAGAAACTCTCCAGAGCTTATGGAAACCGTCCTGTGTTGCCGTTAGCATCCGGGCAGAGTAGGCTGTTAGGCGGCTCCGGGGATTCCCTTGCTAGTTTGCTTCAAATTAAAGGAGAAGTGTCGATTTTATTTTATAGATGGGAAACAACGCACAAAATGGCATTAAGCGTGACAGAAATGCGTTGAACATGTACATTTGATGTTTTTATGCACTTTGTATGCGTGAGCATATATAAAAACATTCTTGAAAAAGTCAATAGTAATGCAGTTAAGCTAGATACACAAACGACCATGAATGAACTGCAGAAGTTTAAAATTGTCACTCCATTCTAAAGTTATTAAATTAACAATGTGTTTACAACTGTATTTCCTTAAAGAAAGTCAGTAAAATACCAACATTTAGGTAGTTTGACTCACCAGTTGCTGTTCTAAACCTCAGATGGAAAATGGCGTCTGGAAAATTCTTCAGTGACTGGGGCTGCATGAATTCCCGGATGTTGGAAATAACACCACCAAGTGTTGAAAAGATAACTCCTTGATTTCTCACTGAATAAAATCAATTTTAACTCTTATTATATTCATTTATCAAAATCTAACTCTTTAACGTCAACACTTTACTCTGAAATGCTTCAACACCGAGAATTTAACTCTGATGAATTTGCTGTGTACGCACGCACGCACGCACGCACGCACGCACGCACACACACACACACACACACACACACACACACACAGTCATATATGAGTCAAATCACATCAGCAAATCCATTTCAGAAAATCAAAAGAGTTTACAAACTTAACAGCTTAAAGCACAGACTAAAAATAAGCTGAATTATTTTTACATATTCTCCATTTACACACATGAGGTCTGATACTGAACTCAAGAAAACTTTATAATTTTATGTATCATACTTACAAATGTGTAATGTTTTCAGTTTATTATGTAAATGATCAGTTAAAGCCTTTTTATGTTTATTCAGATCTTATTTTCATTCTACTACAGCAATAGCTGGATGCCTTTACCCATATTAGGGATTTCCTAGAATGTTCTACTACTTTTGTGAGGCATATATGGAATTTCTGCTCAAGTATGAATAAAACAGGCATTACATGCATTTAAAGTGCTACAATGCCCACATCAACCTTTGAGAAAAACTGAAAAAAAAATCCCTCTGAAAAAATTTAAAGTAAACATATTTCTAGCATATGGATCTTTATTTTTATTTTTTGTAGCCTAATATTTTTGATAGAATTGTTATTATGTAAAAAATAGTAGCCTATTGAATATCAATATTTTGCAAGGTATTGAATTCAGAAATTCCAGTATCTTGACAACACTACACCTCAGTTAATCACTCTGTCCAAATGAACATGTTTGTAGCTTTGTATCAAATTGGATAACAACTCACACTATAAAATAAATCATGTTTTCAGATTTGAAGACATGCAGAAAATTACATTTTCAAAAAACAAACAGAAACTGCAAATCAGGAAGAGATAGGAGGCTCAAGAGGTATGATATGGCTCATAATAACAGACTAGTAAATGAGAAGTGGGTTCATTTATAATTTTTTTTTCCCTATTCGGTGTTAAAAGTCACAAAAAACCTTTATTTTTTATTAACCATTTTTAATCCTGTTAATAAGATTAGAGTAGATTAGGCATATTAAGTAGGGTGAATTAGTGAATTAAAACTTCTTTTTTTTAAGGGGGGTGCTCCGGTTTCCCCCACAGTCCAAAGAAATGCGGTTGGTGAATTGGGTAGGCTAAATTGTCCGTAGTGTATGAGTGTGTGTGTAAAAGTGTGTGGATGTTTCCCAGAGATGGGTTGCAGCTGGAAGGGTATCCGCTGCGTAAAAACTTGCTGGATAAGTTGGCGGTTCATTCCGCTGTGGCGACCTCGGATTAATAAAGGGACTAAGCCAACAAGAAAATGAATGAATGAATGAATTTAAAATTTAAATTTAAAAACCCCTGCAAGCTCTGTAAGAGATTAAGTGTCAGCCAGATCAGAAAAAGTAACTCAAAAATATTGAACACATTACTTGCCATAAAAAGTAACTAAGTAGCATATAGTATAAGAGGTAAAAAAAGCCTTTTTTATTTACACATGTACACATATATTAAAAAAAGAAAAAAATAGGAGTTGTTTGGAGAGAATTGTGAACCTATTAAAACAATAACAGGGAGTAAACAGTTGACTATGGTTTAGTTATAACATCAACAAGTTTTGTTGAAGACTCAGAGTATTCTGTCAGATGATTCCCATTCTATACACCATGGGTTTTACTTTCTCCATTCTGCTATTCAGTACAGAACTCCTATTAGTAAAACAAATTAGTACAAACTTTCATTTATTACCTCAGTTGTGAAGTTTTTTTAAATTCAGCATAGATTTGTTGTGTTTTATCTTATGTGTGATGTGTATTTGTATGGCCATTGGGAAATGAATAAAGAGGTGCGACAAAGTGGCTCAGTGGTTAGCTGGCCCAGTTGGCATTTCTGTGTGGAGTTTGCATGTTCTCTTTGTGTTGGCGTGGGTTTCCTCTGGGTGCTCCAGTTTCCCCCACAGCCCAAACACATGCACTATAGGGGAATCGGATTAACTGAATTGGCTGTAGTGTATGAGTGTTTGTGAATGTGAGAGTGTGTGGGTGTTTCCCAGTTGGGTTGCGGCTGCAGGGACATCTGCTGGTAAAACATATGCTGGATAAGTTGGCGGTTCATTCCACTGGTGTGACCCCTGATAAATAAAGGACTGAGTTGAAGGAAAATGAATGAATGAATGAATGAATGAAATGAATAAAGACTAACTAAATACACAACAAGACAAAACAACCAAATTTATAGAGAGAAGCATTTAGTAAACATAGTAATGATTTTTAATTCCTGACTAATTTGTTTATTAAATTAGGTCTTAAATTATAAAGTAAATTTAGCTTCTCTAAATATAGTTTCTGTAACAGATCAAAGTGAAAATCAGATGACATCTATAAGGGGGCAGCCATTGCCTGATGGTCAGAGAGTTGTGTTTATAGTGTGTGTGTGTGTTCACTGCTGTGTGTGTGCCCTTGGATGGGTTGCATGAAGAGCACAAATTCCAAGTACGGGTTAGCATACTTGGCCACATGTCATGACTTTCCTTTTCATTCCTAATTAAAAATAAAAACAGACCCTCACAGCATAAAAAAGAAAGTGATATGACGTCACATACAACAGTGTTTTCATCGTGAGCACCCGCTTCAAATGTTATCACTCCATTGAATGGGTGTTATCAATGGTTATCAGCTGATAGATATGGGCTAGCCCATATCTATCAGCTGATAATGCCTATTCAATCGAGTTAAAACATTCGAAGCGGCTGCTGTATGTCTGTCTTCAGTGTATGTTGACTGTGTTCAGCAGATCCTGAGCAAACTAAACACAGAGTCCTGCAATAAAACACACACAGTCACATATGAGACATTACTGATGTCACATTACATCAATATATTACAATATATCAGTATTTTAACAACACAGAGAGACTTTTTAAAGTAATTAATCGATAAGAGTAAATATAAACATGCTGAATAACATATACTCACAGTAGTTAAATTTTTTTAGTTTATAATGTGTATCATCCTTCAGATCAGAGAGTAACTTCACATCTGATTCTCCTAGTTTATTTTTAGACAGGTTCAGTTCTGTCAGGTGTTCAGGGTTTGATCTCAGAGCTGAAGCCAAAGCAGCACAACCTTCATCTGTGAGACCACAATCACTCAACCTGTAGAGAACATAATTGCCGTGTGAGTTTTAGTTCAGGTGTTTGTAGTTTGTTATTTACTCTGCTCTGAGAGCAGGAGAGGAGGTATAATGATGGGCATTGCCACAAACTCCTTTTGATAGCATGAGATTAATGCATTTTGATGCTTAATGTGCTGTCTGAAACGGTCATTTGCTTCAGGATGGAACAGAGCAGTGGTGTATTCCTAAAAAAAGGTGGTGTACTATTACCCAGCCAACCCAAATTGTAAAGAAAAGTGGGTAAAGAAACTACAAAAGTCAATGTTTCTTTGATTCATTAGCAATATATATTTGTTCAACACCAGTTACTTGTAACTATTGACTTCCACAGATGGAAAAACAAAATATCAAAAATCTAAATATCTTTTGTGTTCAGCAGAAGATTTAAAAATTTTTGGTTGAACTTTCCATTTAAAAAGGAAAAATATTTAAACAAATTTGTTCATTTTAAAGCGAGATGCTAATAGTCTAATCATCTTCAATGATTGATGCTTAGTGCCCCCAGCAGACCCAAAGATTGGCTGAGTGCATTATGCTGTGGTAAATCCCAACTGTTTAACTCTATAGGGACTTGGAAAATGAGCCTGTTTCCAGAAAATAAACATTATTTATTTTAATACTGTACAAAAAAAAGTGTTTCAAGACAGCTTTATCAAGTATTGTATGTTTTTTTAACTTAAACTGCAAATTTAAAATAAAAATAAAAATCAGGAGAAATAACAGGAAAACAAAAGCAAAGCACTTCTTCAAAATCTCAAATAAGCTACAGTATGTATGCATATTTAATAATTTTAATATTGAAATAGCAATCAATCGAGTTAGTAACAACAATTAACAAGTTAACTCGTCTGTGCATACAAAGACAGCTTTTTAACTTACTTTCTTAACTGGCTTATTACTTTACATTTGATATGTTAATTTAAACATCAATAGTTTGGTTTTAAATTTAAATGACACTAAAAACGATGAGGCAAAGACAACTCATAAATCATGTAACGTTATGCGATTTAAAAGGGTAACTAGCATATAATACCAACAGCAGAAGAGAGTGTCATTCCCTGCAGTGGTGAGCACGAATAAGACAAATATCAAATACTGTTTTACAGGGGTATTTTTAGGATTTTCATTTTAAGGAAACTCAGCTCCTTATGGGGTAAACAAAGTAAAATGTGTAATAATAGAAGTCGTAATACCCAAACAGCTCTTGGAAAAAAAGAAGGCATATGGAGTATACATGTGTATAGCCCCGACTACACCACTGGAACAGACTCAAATTGAAGATGGATGTAAACTTTCATTACTATTTTTATTATTAAGGTTACTTTGACATTTAACAGTGGAGTCTGAAAGCCCTGTCACCTTTACTACTCTAGCTGCAATAATACCAGGGTTGATCTTACCACAGTTTCTCCAGTTTACAATGAGGATCCTCCAGTAGAGGAGAGAGAAGCTTTATGCCTGAATCTCTTAATTTATTCACCGAGAGATCCAGATCTCTCAGGTGTTCAGGGTTTGATCTCAAAGCTAAAGCCAAAGCAGCACAACCTTCATCTGTGAGACCACAATTATACAACCTGTCGAGAACAATGACACACTCTTCACTCTCTCAGAGAAGATAAGATAAAATCAGCAGTAGATCTATTTTCATGCAAATTAAGTTATTCATTTATTCATTCACTTTCCTTCGGCTTAGTCCCTTTATTCCATAATGGGTTGTCCCAGCCGGGACTCTTACCAGTGACGTGAGGCGACAGTGCTAACCACTGAGCCACTGTGTCGCTCTCAAATTAAATTATATTTATTTATATTAAATAAGCTTTATAATAGGTTAACTACATTTATGTTTGCAAAATATTTAGTGATTTTAAACAATGAAATAATATTTTAAAAAGTCACTGCAAAAAATAATAAACAGTAATCTGAATACAGCTCTTGCATGAATAAAATAAATTCATTGCATGAAATCAAGAGGCTGAAATGTTGAGTGTGATTTTGAAAGTGTATTTGAGAGACTCTCAGTCCTGTATAATGTTAGCAAGGAGCAGTTCATGTGTTCAGGAGTTTACAGCTCACAGAAGCAGAAAGACACTCAACACTTCACAAACAGAATACTTTACAATACATTATATCTGCAAATATGATCTTACCCAAGTTTCTCCAGTTTACAGTGAGGATCCTCCAGTACAGTACAGAGCTGCACGACACCAGAATTTTTAAGTTTATTTTTAGACAGATCCAGGACTCTCAGGTGTTCAGGGTTTGATCTCAGAGCTGAAGCCAAAGCAGCACAACCTTCATCTGTGAGACCACAATTTCTCAACCTGTAGAGAACAATGACACAATGTGAATTGTAGTTCCTCTTTCTGTACTCTGGTTTCAAAGCAGGAGAGGAGATATAATGAAAAGCACTGCCACATACAACATCTGACAAAGAGAAATTAATGGATGTTGATGATCAGTGGTGCTGTTTGAAAGTACCGTCACATCTAAACAGACACAAAGTTGAACGCGTAACAATCAGATCTGTCTGAAGAAACATTCATTTAAACCTCTTTTAAATCACTAAAGAAGGACCACTTTACTTCCAGCTTCATGGTATCTGATCTCTGATCAACTTTAATTTCTTAAACAATGTTTTGATCAGAATATTAAATGCAGTGATTCTATTAAAGAGTGATGATGATGCTGAACCCTTTATTTGTCACATACACTTTTACATGTAGCGAAATTTACCCCCCTCGACCATACACAGACTTCACACATTTCAGGGGAAGACAGGCCAGACAAGAGGTAGCTTTTAGAAAGAGTAAAGATACATTTGGGAACAGGGAGAAAAAAAATCTGTATCTGTAGCTGAAAATTCAGGAATTCAGAGTGTCACGTTATCTTGTTCATTAGGAGAAGTATTTTGTCTTCAGCTGAGGCCGTGTGGCAAGAGAGTCACAGGGAAGCCGAAAGAGAACATCTAATGTCCATCACTGCTCACCAGGTCTGTCCAAATCTTTTACTAACAGCTCTGCTCATCACCGTTTCAATCCAGGAGGCTAGCTTGGTGGGGTTTTGAGCCGCACTGACCACTTTTATCAGTCGTCAATACTCCAGGGCTCTGCCTCAGCCAATCAGCAAAAATACTGTTATACTCTCTTATACTCTGTCGACTCTCTTCCCAGGGGATGCTGAGCTCGCGCAGCATCCTGAAGTTCTATACCTGTTATATCGCATGTAACATGAAATTAGCTCATTTTATGAATATTAATAATCAACAATAACGGTTTATTCTTAATTATTAATATTCCGGCTTAAGCTTCAGTCAGTTTGGTCAAACAAACATATGATTGTATATGATCATGCTCGCACGACCGAGCGGATTCCCAGATTATGAATATTAATTATCAACAATAACAAATTATTATTAATCATTAATATTCCGGATCAATTTATTGTTCATTTGACCAAACAAACACAAGCAGAGCCGCCGCTCTTCCGAGCGGACACGGCAATGATCGATTCATTTAGAAAAAGGGAATTTAATTGCTACTTCTTGCGAAGTTGATTAATCATTCAAAAGTTTTAAACAACTTATAAAAGCTAGGCAGGGGAATCTATATTTCAGTGACATTTTTTCGTGAGGCAAACAATACAATTCATTTGATTATAATGGAATTTATTGATTAGTCAGACGTAACGAACAAACTAACGCACAAACATACATTAAACACAAAACAAAGGTAAACCACGTGGATATATCGGGTCTATAGAATGTGTAACAACAAAGGGAAATAGTAAAGTGTGGAAATAGAGATTTCAGGTAAAAGAGTGACAAAACTTTCAGTTCCACACGCACCATTAAGGACCAATCAAATAGTAAATATCAAATACTAAAATCAATAAGTAATTTTATCTTTGGACTGTACGCTACATGCACTTTGTAAAGAAACGAGTCTGGCGGATATCACGTTTTGTAAAAAAAAATTAATTTTTGTTCTTGGCCTAAAATGTATATTCTTAAGTTTTATTAATGCCAGCAATTCACACACAGATTAAGGTACTGTACATCTGAACAGTGATTTCCAATGATAAAATCCAAATGTCAAAAATGGCGTTTATCGCGTTTTGCAACCAAACTCTTCAACTAAGTTCTCATGTAATGAGTCAAAAAAACAGAAGCACTTGCTTATGTTACATTTTGCTGTGAATTTAAGTTGTTTGCTGAATCTTGCTGAACACAGATTTTAATCCTAAAATTTATATTTAAGTATGTGCTGTACCAGACTTGACTTTTAGATAGTTGATCTTACCCCAGTTTCTGCAGTTTACAGCGAGGATCCTTCAGTACAGCAGAGAGAAGAGTCACTGAATCTCCCAGTTTATTCTGGGACAGATCCAGATCTCTCAAGTGTTCAGGGTTTGATCTTAGAGCTGAAGCCAAAGCAGAACAACCTTTACCTGTGATGTCACATTTACTCAACCTGTAGAGAACAATGAGAATGACATGGGTTTATAGGAATTGCAACAGTTATTAAAGGAAAACATTATTGCTTTAATTCATCCTAAAAGTGTTAAGTAGGAATTGAGGTCAGGACTCTGTGCAGGCCAGTCAATTTCCTCCACACCAAACTTCCTTTTGGTAAATATTCCTCAGCTGATCATGATATATTTATAGTGAGGAAATATCACAAATAAAAAAAGTAACCTATCATGGTACCACATCTGAATTTACTGAGCTCTTAAGAGTGACCCTTTTTTTTTAGTCAAGCACTCTGCTTGCCTAGATGATTGATTTTATAAACCTGTGAAGTGAATACCTGATTTCAATGGTTTAAAGAGGTATATATATATATTTTTTTTTTATTTTTTTTTTATTAGTTTATATTTTATGTATGATATTATCTATATAGGAGGACAATGCAAGGACAAAGGTTAATAGGCTAATTGGTTGTTATTAAGGAAAAACACACACTGGAATGTTGTGAACTAACAAATCAGGTATTTCAAAAAGGCCATGAAATAAATTAATATGCTATACAAATGATATGAGCTAACCACAGTGTCTTCAGTTTACAGTGAGGATCCTCCAGTACAGCAGAGAGAAGAGTCACTGAATCTCCTAGTTTATTCTCAGACAGATTCAGATCTCTAAGGTGTTCAGGGTTTGATTTCAGAGCTGAGGCCAAAGCAGCACAACCTTCATCTGTGAGATCACAATATCTCAACCTGTAGAGAACAATGACACACTCTTCACTCTCCAAGACCACAGCAGTTTAATAGAGAATCCATTATTTAGGAGAAGAAAAGGTTTGGGTCTGATTTAAGACATTAATCAGTACATATAATATGTATGGGAGTTGATCTTACCACAGTTTCTCCAGTTTAGAGCAAGGATCCTCCAGTACAGCAGAGAGAAGAGACACTGAATCTACTAGAATATTCCTAGACAGATTTAATACTCTTAGGTCTGAGGGGTTTGATCTCAGAGCTGAAGCCAAAGCAGCACAATCCATTTCTGTGAGACCACAATCACTCAACCTGTGGAGACAATAAATTATACTTAATAAACATTATTATTAAGGAGTTTGCAAGTTCCCCCTGCGTTCGCGTGGGTTTCCTTCAGGTGCTCCGGTTTCCCCCACAGTCCAAAGACATGCAGTACAGGTGAATTGGGTAGACTAAATTGTCCGTAGTGTGTGGATGTTTCCCAGAGATGGGTTGTGGCTGGAAGCGCATCCGCTGCGTAAAAACTTGCTGGATAAGTTGGCGGTTCATTACGCTGTGGTGACCCCGGTTTAATAAAGGGACTAAGCCGACAAGAAAATTAATGAATGAACATTATTAAATAACTTTAATTTGCAATTACAACCTGCAATGCTAATATACTGTACAGTACCATACATTTTCATGACAAAAAAACTACTTGTCATGTATTACTTAATTACTTAATAATTTGTCTTGAAATTCTTGCTTTTCAGTGAATTTTAAAAACCTAACCAGGTTTATTTATTATTATTTATTAAAATATTTATTCACAATGAAGTGGTTATTATTAGTGACACTTACTGAACTGATCTTGATTCCTTAATTACAGGAAGCAGCTTCTGAAAAACTTTCAGTTTTTTGCTTTTATTGTTTCCAGCAACAAATTCATTAATATCAAACTCCTCCAGCTTCTTCTCTGATGTCAACAACAAAAAAGCTACAGCTGACCACTGAGATGAGGAGAGTTTGGCTTCATTTATTCCTCCAGATTTCAGATACTGCTGTATTTCCTCCACTAGTGAATGATCACCCAGTTCACTCAGACAGTGAAACAGATTGATGGATTTCTCTGGAGAGAAAACAACTTTAATGAGCCTCTTTATGTAAACTGCTATTTTGCTGTCAGAGCTGCTACTTGGCCGTATAACTAGTCCTTGTAGGTTAATCTGATGAGACTCCACTGACAGACCCAGAAGAAACCGCAGAAAAAGATCCAGATGTCCATTTTTACTCTTTAGAGCCTCATTTACAGCTCACTGATGCAGACTGAATAAAGAAACTGGTTTTAATGAATTAAAGTGAAAATGGTCCTTAACTTTAGACCACAAACTCTGTTTGTTAATTTCCTCAAACTCATCTCTGTTGTTGTTTATACAGGAGAGGTGCACATATAGAGCCGCTAGATGTTCCTGAATGCTCAGATGAACAAAGCTGAAGACTTTCCCCTGATACAAGCCAAACTCCTCTCTGAAGATCTGAGTGCACAATCCTGAGTAAACTGAAGCTTCTGCCACATCAATGCCACACTCTCTCAGGTCTTCCTCATAGAAGATTATATTGCCTTTCATGAGCTGCTGAAAAGCCACTTTCCCCAGTTTGAGGATCATGTCTTCATCTGTCAGCTTCTCCTCATAGTCCTTCTGATGTTTGATGTTGGTCTGCAGGATCAGGAAGTGTGTGTACATCTGAGTGAGAGTCTTGGGAATCTCTGCAGTCTCTGCTTCACTCAACATCTTCTCTAGAACAGTGGCTGAGATCCAGCAGAACACTGGGATGTGGCACATGATGTAGAGGCTCCTGGAGGACTTCAGGTGTGAGATGATTGTATTGGCCAGACTCTGATCACTGATTCTCTTGCTGAAGTATTCCTCCTTCTGAGGGTCATTGAAGCCTCGTACCTCTGTCACTCGATGGACACACTCAGAGGGGACGAGATGTGCTGCTGCTGGTCTGGAGGTGATCCAGATGAGAGCAGAGGGAAGCAGATTCCCCACAATCAGGTTTGTCAGCAGCACGTCCACTGATGATGTTTTGGTCACATCCCTCAGAGTCTTATTCCTTTTGAAATTTAAGGGAAGACGACACTCGTCCAGACCATCAAAGATGAACAGCACTTTATATTTGTCACTGGATATTTCCATTTCTTTAGTTTGAGGGAAAAAGAGCTGAAGAAGATCTGACAGACTGAGTGTTTTGTCCTTCATCAGATTGATCTCTCTGAAAGGAAGTGGAAATATGAGCTGGACGTCCTGATTCTCCTTCTCTTCAGCCCAGTCCAGGATGAACTTCTGCACAGAGACTGTTTTTCCGATGCCAGCGACTCCCTTCGTCAGCACAGTTCTGATGGCTTTGTCTTGTCCAGGTAAAGGTGTAAAGATGTCTCTGCATTTGATCGCTGTGTCCTCTGTTGTTGATCTCCTGGATTGTGTCTCAATCTGTCTCACCTCATGCTCATGACTGATCTCTCCACTCTCACTCTCTGTGATGTAGAGCTCTGTGTAGATCTCATTCAGGAGTGTTGGGTTTCCCTGCGCCGCTGTTCCCTCATACAGACACTCAAACTTCTTCAGCATATTTGATCTAAATGTATTGACGACTTCATGTCTGTTAAATGAAAAAACACAGTACATTAGCCAATGAACACAATGGCTTATTGCTTAGTGTTTATTGTTTTTAGATCAATTTCACATCCACCACCTCTCATAGACACACAGCTGGCCTCTAGACCTGATCTCTTTGGATGGACTAAACTAAAGAAGAATGAAATGAAATTATTTTAACTGTGCTATTTATTAAATTACATATTGATGTGCCCATAAAATACATGTTAAGCACATTTTATGATATTTTCATGTTTACCTTACTATAATTAAAAGTCTGATCATACTTAAAAATAACAACAACAGACAGTTTTGTCTGTGTTGGGAAATGATGAAATGGGGATCTAAATGCAATCTAGTGGGTTTAATGTGAAGTGCACAAAATGGGCAGTACAAAGTAGTAAAAACAAACAAAAACAAGCTAAAGGAACACAAAATCAACACTGGGCACACACAAACATCAAGGGGAACTAAGAAATATACTTACAACGAAAGACTAACAGAACAGAGTATAAATACACAACAAATCAATTAACCAAACAAGCTGAAAAGGGGGTAAAGACAATTAATAATCAAAACAACTAATAAACACAGGGCAACTAACATGACTGGATGTGACAGGAACAGGACTTACAAGGTTGCACAAACAAACATGAGATACCTGGGATCAGTCTTTGAATTTTCACTATCAAAGTTTATTACATTATTCATAGACCAGTCACTGCTCATAGACACACAGCTAGGCTCAGGATCTGACCTCTTAAGCTGAAATGAACTGTAACAAAGTGAAAGTGAAAGTAATGTTCTGTTGTTAATTTAGCCATAAAATATTCTTTCATTTACACTGTTGCAAGTGATGTGTGAGCCACACTGTTAAAATATCAAAAGTAATAAAACTACCTGTAAGATGCTATACATTTAGCAGAAACTTTACAAAAATGTTTTACCCGAGACCAGTTTGCTTATCTTCTCTGTTAAAGTTGATCACATTATTCATAGACCAGTCACTCTTTACAGACACACAGCTGGGCTCCGGTTCTGATCTCTTCTGCTTAAATGAACTACTATAATAGAAAATATTTAATGGTTCATAACCATTATCACCCATTCACATTATAGACGAAAGTCTTTTAAAAACAGCTATTAAAAATGTAAGAAGCTTACCTTCTTCCTGGAGAAACGTCATCATTTCTGGGTGTTTGTGAGTCATCCATGATTAAAAAGAATCATGTAGTCTGTGTGGAAAAACATCAATCATTGATTCTTTCAATTTCCTTCAGCTTAGTCTCTATTCATCAGGGGTCACCAAAGCGGAATGAACTACTAACTTTATCCAGCATATGTTTTACATAGTGGATCCATATTACACACTCATTCACACTCGTACACAACGGCCAATTTAGTTTATCCAATTCACCTATAGCGCATGTCTTTGGACTCTGGGGGAAACCAGAGCACCCAAAGCAAACCCACACCAACACAGGGAGAACACGCAAACTCCACACAGAAATGCCAACGGACCCAGCCGGAACTAGAACCAGCGACCTTCTTGCTGTGAGGTGGCAGTGCTAACCACTGAGCCACCGTGACATCAACCACAACAATCAGTAAATGTATTTTAGAATCACAGTTTCCATTTTATTTACTCTGATTTAAAGAGAAAAATCTATTGGTTGTATATTAACACAGATAATAATAATAATTATTATTATTATTATTATTATAAAACAGGCATTAACAAGGAAACCATGTTAAGTTGAAAGAGATTCATTTCAAAACCTAAACATTAATTAATTAAGTAATTAATTTTGATTTTGGTGGAAATATACACTTTCTCTCGTAAGTACAATCGTTAGACCCTTTGATTGTTGTTAAACGAAAAATACCAATTACATTAAATAGACTATTTGGTCCCACCCCACACACACACAGGCGTCCCTTTTTTTGGCTGAAATTAACTATGAAGTAAAATATTATATTGTTTGTGAAATGTGACCCTGAAAATACTTTAAAGATCACTTTAAGGTTATTTTATCTACAGTTTTCTGTAGCTTACACGGTTTTCACAGATTAATAGAGAATACTTACGTCCTTTAGATGAGCTTTTGATGAGGAAGTCACTTGTGTTTTATGAGCATTCGCCTTCGTTAGCTTTTAAGATTAAAATAATAAACATCCTGTCTTTTGTACGTAGCTGGACGTAAACGTATTGATTTTCATAAAGGTACATGTAGGCTAAAATACTTTGGTGCTATATATTGTAAAGTACCTGTTAAAATAGCGACATGTCAACTATGAGCAAGCTTTCACTTTTCCTTTGAATTTGTCACGTGGCAAATGGTGACGCTCGGCTTGGCGCACCGCTAGAGGGCATTAAAGCCTAATATGGACACAGCCCATTGGTTTTAACCTTAGTCATGGTTTTAACAGGCTTCTCGACTCTCTTGATGAAATAAACATGGGATTCAAACATATTAATCGTACAAATACCACAGCAATCAAAATTAGGCTATTCAACCTCTAAAGACTAGCTACTTTAGGACATTCATTAATTCATTCATTTTCTTTTAGGCTTATTCCCTTCATTAATCTGGGACGCCACAGCGGAATGAACTGCCAACTTATCCAGCATATTAATATACAGTTGAATTGAATTTTTACACAGCGGATTCCCTTCTACCTGCAACCCAGCACTGGGAAACATCCATATACTCTCATTCACACACATACACTGTATGGACAATTTAGTCTACCCAATTCACCTGTATCGCATGTGTTTGGACTGTGGGGGAAACCGGAGCACCCGGAGGAAACCCACGCGAACACAGGGAGAACATGCAAACTCCACACAGAAATGCCAACTGAGCCAGTAATTGTCAAGTCATCTTTATTTCTGTAAATGTAGATTGTGTCAAAAGCAGCTTAATGTTAATGAAGAGAAGAGAAAAAGCCACAACAACATTCATTCATTCATTTTCTTATCGGCGCCAACTGAGCCGAGGTTTGAACCAGCGACCCAGCACTGCGACCTTCTTGCTGTGAGGCGACAGCACTACCTACTGCGCAACTGCCTCGCCCACAACAACATTTCCTATTGTGAAAAATTCTAGCATATCAGGTGAGTATAGCAAATGAATGCTGGTGTAGTTGTAGTTTCATTAAAATGTATTCGGTTTGATTTAATACAAACGTCACTGTTGGAGTTCAGTTCAGTAACAGATTAAATGATTGTTTCTCTGATGTGTCTTACACACACACAAAAATTTGTAAAGGACTGTTTACTGCACCAGAAATCATGTGAAATTAACTTAAATATAAAGTTGAATTTTTTTCACATAACAGATTTTTAAACATACAGCAATAGACAAAATATCTAAATGTATTTTAGCTAGATTCACATATGGTTTATTCTTAATTTATATACTATAGTGGCTGTAAAAATCTTATATTAGACAGTAGTTTAAGACCAGACCCACAAAACGTACAAAAAAAGCAATTTGAAGCCACACAAAAATGAAACTGTGATCACTGTAATGTGGCGTCTCTGTGTCTTCAGTGCTTTCTCTGTGAAGTTTCTCCTCATTCACCATCAGCAGATCCTTAGCAAATCAAACATTGAGAGTCCTGCAATAAAACCCTCACGATCATGAGACATCAACCAATCAACTTCAGAAAGAGACAGATATTAGGATATTCATATTACAAACAGAGATTTGAACAAAACACTTATTTATTACCAGTAAATGATTATTAACACTTTCATAACACACAGATAACGTTAAAGATGAAAATATTTATACGTTCATAAATCAGTCTCATCACAGAATTATACTCTTATTAAACAGCGATATTAACTTATGTTTATTCTTTAATTACACACATTCAAGGTCTAAAATTGAAAACTGAAAAACACTAAATAAAACTATACTCACAGTAGTTTAATGTCTCCAGTTTATAAAGTGCATCATCCTTCAGAGCAGAGAGTAACTTCACATCTGAATTTCCTAGTTTATTCTCAGACAGATCCAGTTCTCTCAGGTGTTCAGGGTTTGATCTCAGAGATGAAGCCAAAGCAGCACAACCTTCATCTGTGACACCACAATTACTCAACCTGTAAGGGCATAATCACTATTTGAATTGTAGTTCAAGAGCCTGTAGTTTATTGCATAATGCTATCAGTGAACAGACACATAACACTGAATGCGAGTCTAATCCAAGCAGAATAAAAATGACTTCTGAATAGATGATCAACAGTGTCTCAAATAACACACTATGCACCTGTACACTATGTTGCACTCAGCCATCGAGCCTATGAAGTTTTTCATCAAACATTGCAGTCAGAAATTAAAGGTTCAACAGTTTGAGTGAATGAATTTTCCTGCTTTACACACTTTTTTATGCTTACATAAAAGAGTGGCACAAAAGGTATTTAAAGTGTACATTTTCCTAATTTTAAGTATGTACACACTTCTTCCACACAATATAGCAATAGTGCAAAAACATACAAATTTGATACACTTTTGCTTATGCATTGGAATATTTTTTTTCTTTGGATGAAACACATTTAGACCAGTGTCTGTTGAGTTATAAACGGGTATATTTGTTCTTTAAATTTAATCTCAGAGCGTTTGGTTCATGGATGTCAGACATTAATATTCATCTGAAAGTAATCAAACTACCAGAAAAGCAATAGAAGTAGGGATGCACAGATATGGATTTGTGGGCTGATAACTTTTCATAATTGGAGGCAGATAATCGATATATATAGGCCGGTAAATATAAATATTTCAAAATGTTAAATTTTTTACAGTGAAGAACGGATATAAATAAACTTAATAAAAGTTTGAACTCATCTTATGAACTGAATAGACTACTCCAAGAAAAATTATTTCAGAATTGCAAGGTGATTATATAGACCTATATTCATGATTTCAGATACATTAAGCATGCAAAAAATAAATTATTTCCTTTTCTTCGTATAGTAAATTGACATGTAACTTGACTGTTGCATAAAAATAATAGTTTAAATAACAAAATTAAATTTAATTAACAAACAAGTAAAATAAATAAATTTTAAATTAAGTGAAAATGAAAGAACTAAGAACTGAAACCAGCTAAAATGTTCTTGAACAAAACATGTTACAGTAATGTACAGGGTGGGCCATTTATATGGATACACCTTAATGAAATGGGAATGGTTGGTGATATTAATGTCGTGTTTGTGGCACATTAGTATATGTGAGATGGCTCATAAATAACTCATGAAAGAATAAAGTTACGTTAAAACCAAGCACACCATTGTTTTACTTGTGAAACTCCCAATAAGTTTAAGGTGTATCCAAATAAATGGCCCACCCTGTACATATGTAATGTCCGTACAAGTGAAAAGCTAAATACAGATGGTATGTTTTACTTTAGAAAATGAAAGTGAAAATAAATTCATCATATTTGGTTTTTTAGATTCTTTTGAACACATGTAGGAGCTGCTTGTCAATCAGACAACACTTCTATGTTCATTCTTGCTGTCAATTGTGAAAAATAATCGATAAAAGGTTAATGGAGTCATATTTGTCATATTTGACCTCATTGTCAGATTTTGAAACAACACCTGTGTGTGCGCGGGGATTGCCCTCACGTGCGCTTGTTATAATCAATACGAATATGCCGATCAAACTGAATACCATCTTATATCAAAAACACATAATAGGCAACGTATTGATAATAACAAATAATCTTATTAGATTACAAACAACCCAACTAGTTGTTTAAAATGTGTGCTGCTATTGTGTTTACACAGGTAATATTTGTTCTGAGGCAATTTAAAGCACAATACTCAATGACATTCTATCAAACATCTACAATGATAAGAAACGTGGTTACTTACTGAGTTATTAACGCACAGCAATACCACACAAACAAAGGACAGACTTTGAAGGAATAAACAATGGAAGGAGAGCTCCATTATAGTGCACTGGACAAGTCTAAACAAGTTCCGCCCATGCATGAGAGGCAGGCAGTTCTGTACAATTACGCAATTTATCGGCTTAAAGATATCGGCCTAATTTAGACATCAGACCGATAACAATAATTTTAAAAATAGCATTTATTGGCAGATAATGATATGGCCACTGATATATCGTGAAACGCTAGTCATGTGATGTTAAACAGATGAACTTTAATCAAATTCCACTTTAGTCAATCACAGTCATTTGGGCTAAAATGTATTGTTTATTGAGCGCATAAATTACAAACTGGTTTTAGTCAAAGACGTTAATTTAAAGTATACTGTTGAGGACAGACACGTGTGAACATCAGAGAGATAATCTTACCTCAGTTTTTTTAGTGTACAGTAAGAATTCACCAACATATCAGAGAGAATGTTTATGCCTGTATCTCTTAGTTTATTCTCAGACAGATTCAGATCTCTCAGGTGTTCAGGGTTTGATCTCAGAGCTGAAGCCAAAGCAGCACAACCTTCATCTGTGAGACCACAATTATACAACCTGTAGAGAACAACGACACACTCTTCACTCTCTCTGTCAATTTAACTGAGAATCCATCATTTGGCAGAAAGCATGAGAATGAGTCCAGCACATTCTTAACGTCTTGCTTGTATATTTTACAGCTGAACTCACAGCAGCAGAAAGTCACTCAACATATACTTCAAAATTAATTATATCTGAAAAAAGTGATCTTACCACAGTTTTTGTATTTTACAGTGAGGATCCTCCAGTACAGCACAGAGCTGCATGACACCAGAATCTTTTATTTTATTACTAGACAGATTCAAAACTCTCAGGTGTTCAGGGTTTGATCTCAGAGCTGAAACCAAAGCAGCACAACCTTCATCTGTGAGACCACAATTAACCAACCTGTAAGAAACAATGACTACATTTACATGGACACAGTGGTGTAAAGTAACAAATTACAAATACTTAAATCACTGTAACTGAGTAGGTTTTCTCTGCAGTTGTAATTTACTAAGTAGATTTAAAAATGTGTACTTTTACTTGAGTACATTTTTAGTGCTGTAACAACACATTTACTCCACTACTTTCCTTCAACCTGCAGTCACTACTTTATTTTTTTCTTGTCAATGAGAAATGACCAAAAAAAACTACAAAAATCAGTCCTGTGATTCCTGTCCAATCAAATCGCATATGGGAAGTAAATCGCATTATACTGAACAACCTCAAGACATGGGTGCTTTATAAATGCAGAATACTATTTGGAAGCATTAAATGTGTCCAAGAAGACGTTCAAAATCTTTACACACAATCAAAATCCTAAAATAGTCAGACACCCCTATGAATTCAAATGAGCGGTCTTTTATTAAAGTCTCCTTAAACCAGTGGTTCTCAAAGTGGGGGTCGTGGGAAAATGGGGGGGGGGGGGGGGTCGCCTGGTGATTTTCAAAAATCTATTTATTTTTATTAAACCATAAGAATTATCATATTTTATCTGAAGAGAAAAAAATAGTCATTTACAGTTACTATATATATGGTTACTATATAGTTACTATAGTAGCTTATAGTTAGTTACTAGTTCTATTGAATTGGGACCCCTGGGGTAATTACATCATAATAAAGACACAGCAATAGTGTCAGATGCAGCAGATTGATTTTATAACACCAGGTTAAACTTTCTGGCCCATTTACAGCACTGACATACAAAAAAAAATAAATGAAGTATAGACTTGGGCGTATTGGTGTTGTGCATTTATAACCACTGTATTTATAACCACCTCAGAGAATATTAGGGGTCGCGACTCACTGGCATTATCACTTTGGGGGTCACGGGCTGAAAAGTTTGGGAACCCCTGATTTAAACAATAACTACAGTAAATGCAGTACAGAATGTCACCTTTACACATCGCTGCACAAATTGCATAAAAAAGGCTTTAACCTTTCACAGCATAATACTCACTACTCACGAGTACTTTTAAAAGGGCTACTTTTTACTCATACTTTGAGTAATATTTAAAACAGATACTTTTACTCTACTTGTACTACGTCTTTAGGTAAGTGACAGTACTTTCACTTCAGTATGTTTTTTTAGTACTCTTTACACCACTGCATATATGTCAGTAATCAAATTATTTACCTTAATCCAAATAAGTCAATAATATTATTGAGGTGTATGAGTTGCTTTTAGAATGTTCCTTTCATGTTGTAATATTTACATGTTATCATTTATAAATTGATTAACATCATTTCGCCACCACACTATCCAATTATCCCTATGGAGATTCATGTAATTCCAAGTGTTTCATTTTAAATTTTTTACAATTTCAACTACAGTTCAGTCTTTTCAGCTTCATTCAGCAACATTTCATTCATGCCCCTATGATACACTTTGGATTAGAGTATTAAGTAAGGACTAATAGGAAATAGTTGTTTAAATTGAAATTTGGTATTGCACTCCAAATGGAAAGAAAACTTTTGCATATGACAGATTTCAGCGCTTGTAAAATGGTTCTCGGTGATGGCAGGTGTGATGATCTCCCTGGAGTTCACTGTCTGTGCACTTGAAGATGCGGGTGAGTATGTCAGTCCTCCACAAAGGTAATTGTTTGATTAAGATGTTTGCATGTCTGTATTGCACTTCAATAATGTGACTAAAATAGGAATACTGTCTTAATTTGAGTAGAGTTTATTTCGATTATTTCGAGAAAGGTCATCAAAAATCTATTTACATGGTAAACTCTTAATCAGAGTATTGTCTTGATCATATTAAAATCGGGCTATTGATGTCCATGTAAACATACTGAATGACACACTTCCCACTCTTGCAGAGCCGATCAGAATAACACTGAATATATTTTCAAAGCATTTTCAAGTTGAATGTAGGAGCCATACAGTATATTGGCGATTGACCACAAGGTGTCAGTGCAATACTATTTAACCGTGGCTTCACTGCATGGAGGAAGACAGCTTAACTTGGTAGGAAGCACAGTTTTTGACCATAACGTAGCTTTGACTGTAACTTAAGGTAACAGAGAAGTGTTCATTATAGATTAGTGAAAATTGATGAAGGAATTCTGTTGATTGGACAATAAAGATGTTTTTATTTGCATCTATTTTGCCTATGGACTCTGACGTTTACGTGTTAAAAACTTGCTCACTCTACCAACAATAGCGGAAATGGAACGCCACTACAAAGAATGTCTAAAATATCACAATTTATTAAATGTCACAATTCACATCTACTTTATATTGTGTTTTTATGACAGTCAGTCAAACATGATCTTACCCCAGCTTATTTAGTTTACAGTGAGGATCCTCCAGTACAGCAGAGAGAAGAGTCACTGAATCTCTTAGTTTATTCCAGGACAGATTTAGATATCTCAGGTGTTCAGGGTTTGATCTCAGAGCTGAAGCCAAAGCAGCACAACCTTCATCTGTGAGACCACAATAACTCAACCTGTAGAGAATAATGACAAAACGTGAATTGTAGTTTAAGTGCTTTTGTTTGGTCTAAGAGTAGAATAGGAGATAATGACAAGTACTGCCACATACTACTGACAGATTGGGATTTATGCATTACTAAAACAGATGAAGAAAGATGAGGAAAAGACTGCTGTTGACTCGCAATGTGGTGTAGCGTCATATGAACTTATAATGTAATTGCGTATTGACTCCACTAAACTGCCACCTTGGTTTGACTACTGGGTTCTACGAAGTCAAAGAGTGAATTTCTGAAATTCCTGTGATGGTTACCAGTTGGAGCTGCTTGTGTTCTGTTAATTAAAAGTGTTTCTGAGTTATACTTCACCGTACACAGTCTATAATATACACTGTAGAAGGAAACACTACACCCATAAACATATTTCTATAGCAAACAGTGATCATACTATATTGTGCCATTTGATAAAGGCTTCAAACCTTTTGTTTTAATGTGAACACACATTTATATATTTCACATCTTGTAAAAAAAAAAAAAATAATTGTAAAATATGAGCCCTCTTAAAGGGGTTTATTTAACATTTATTTTAAACACATATTAACCCTAAAGTTCAAATCTAAAGACACATCTTTAGAGAGATCATCTTACCACAGTTTCTCCAGTTTACAGCGAGGGTCCTCCAGTACAGCAGAGAGAAGAGTCACTGAATCTCCTAGTTTATTCCAGGACACATTCAGATCTCTCAGGTGTTCAGGGTTTGATCTCAGAGCTGAAGCCAAAGCAGCACAACCTTCATCTGTGAGACCACAATTACTCAGCCCTTAGAGAACAATGACACACTCTTCACTCTGTATGTTTAATTATGTTTAAAACAAAACTTAAAACAAAAGTCACTGCCTTCATCCTTCATTAGAATTTAAACGATCATATAACACAAAATATGCTTATAAAATCTAGTCTCATTCAAGCATATTAGGTACTATTTATTAATATTTAATCAAATATGATCTTACCACAGTTTCTCTAGTTTACAGTGAGGATCCTCCAGTACAGCAGAGAGAAGAGTCACTGAATCTCCTATTTCATTGCCAGACAGAACCAATTTTCTTATATCTGAATTGTTTGATTTCAGAACAGAAGCCAGAGAATCACAATCTGCATCTGTGAGACCACAATAACTCAACCTGTAGAGATTAAAAAAAAAATTTGCTAAATACTATAAAATAAAAAAAACGTGTGATTTCAATAATCTATATTTTCATGACAGGAGAACGGAATACTTGCATATATTTGGTACAGTATACTATACACGTTCTGTTTCTGTTCTTGGATTTTGACTTGTTTTAATAGGTTTCCTTTAACCTGTTTTTCAGTTTTCATGTTTATGAAAGGTGCTATATAAATTACCCTTTACTTACTTTCGTCCTTAGTGGTGTGAAAAAGTGTTTGCCTCCTCACTGATTTCTTATTTTTGCATGTTTGTCACACTTTAATGTTTCAGATCATCAAACAAATGTAAATATTAGTCAAAGATAACACAAGTAAACACATCATGCAGTTTTAAAATGAAGGTTTTTAATGTTAAGGGAAAACAAAATCCGCAAAATGCATGATGCATTTACTTGTGTTATCTTTGATTAAAATTAACATTTATTTTATGATCCATAACAATAAACATCAGACAAACATAAAAGAAATATTTGGTAATAGTCCAATTTACACATAAAATGTTATGACTTAATGGAATCAGCATACATCTATTCATCAAAATTGACATGTAATGTTTTGTTAAATAATAAAAAACTGGTCTAGCATATTTAAAACTAATCCATATGTTAGGCTGTGAACCAACGAATAGTTCATTTGTTTTAATGTAATGTAATAAGCTCCTATCTTTTTTATTATTATTGCGTGTCAGTGTTTTTTTAATGACTGACAGACTATGATTATTTATTGAACTGCGTCTCTGATTTTATATGATGTCTGATGAAAACTTTCAGTACAATTATATTAAAAATGCACTACATTTTCTTTACGTTTTCACAGTGAACTGATTGTTATTAGAGAAACTTACTGAACTGATTTTGATCTTTTAATCACAGGCAGTAGCTTCTGAAAAACTTCACTTTTCTTTTTATTGTTTCCTGCAACAAAATCATTAATATCAAACTCCTCCAGCCTTTTCTCTGATGTCAACAACACAAACGCTACAGCTGACCACTGAGATGAGGAGAGTTTGGCCTCTCTTATTCTTCCAGATTTCAGATACTGCTGTATTTCCTCCACTAGTGAATGATCGCCCAGTTCATTCAGACAGTGAAACAGATTGATGAATTTCTCTGGAGAGTTGATGATCCTGATCTTCTTCTTGATGTACTCGACTGTTTTCTCATTGATGTCAGAGCTGCTGCTTGACCATTTCATTAGTCTTTGTATGACAATCTGATGAGACTCCACTGACAGACCCAAAAGAAATTGCAGGAAAAGATCCAGATGTCCATTTTTGCTCTGTAGAGCCTCATTTACAGCTCGCTGATGCAGCTCAGATAAAGAAACACATTCTGAAGACTTGAGCTGAAACAAGTCTTTAACTTTAGAGCACAAACTTGGTTTCTTGATTTGCTCAAACTCATCTCTGTTGTTGTTTATACAGGAGAGGTGCACATACAGAGCCGCTAGATGTTCCTGAATGCTCAGATGAACAAAGCTGAAGACTTTCCCCTGACACAAGCCAAACTCCTCTCTGAAGATCTGAGTGCACAATCCTGAGTAAACTGAAGCTTCTGCCACATCAATGCCACACTCTCTCAGGTCTTCCTCATAGAAGATTAGATTGCCTTTCATGAGCTGCTGAAAAGCCACTTTCCCCAGTTTGAGGATCATGTCTTTATCTGTCAGCTTCTCCTCATAGTCCTTCTGATGTTTGATGTTGGTCTGCAGGATCAGGAAGTGTGTGTACATCTGAGTGAGAGTCTTGGGAATCTCTGCAGTCTCTGCTTCACTCAACATCTTCTCCAGAACAGTGGCTGAGATCCAGCAGAACACTGGGATGTGGCACATGATGTAGAGGCTCCTGGAGGACTTCAGGTGTGAGATGATTGTGTTGGCCAGACTCTGATCACTGATTCTCTTGCTGAAGTATTCCTCCTTCTGAGGGTCATTGAAGCCTCGTACCTCTGTCACTCGATGGACACACTCAGAGGGGACGAGATCTGCTGCTGCTGGTCTGGAGGTGATCCAGATGAGAGCAGAGGGAAGCAGATTCCCCACAATCAGGTTGGTCAGCAGCACGTCCACTAAGGCGGATTCACTGACGTCACACAACCTCACAGCGCTCTGAAAATCCAGAGACAGACGACACTCGTCCAGACCATCAAAGATGAACAGCGCTTTATATTTGTCACTAAATATTTCCATTTTAGTTTGAGGGTAAAAGAGCTGAAGAAGATCTGACAGACTGAGTGTTTTGTCCTTCATCAGATTGATCTCTCTGAAAGGAAGTGGAAATATGAGCTGGACGTCCTGATTCTCCTTCTCTTCAGCCCAGTCCAGGATGAACTTCTGCACAGAGACTGTTTTTCCGATGCCAGCGACTCCCTTCGTCAGCACAGTTCTGATGGCTTTGTCTTGTCCAGGTAAAGGTGTAAAGATGTCTCTGCATTTGATCGCTGTGTCCTCTGTTGTTGATCTCCTGGATTGTGTCTCAATCTGTCTCACCTCATGCTCATGACTGATCTCTCCACTCTCACTCTCTGTGATGTAGAGCTCTGTGTAGATCTCATTCAGGAGTGTTGGGTTTCCCTGCGCCGCTGTTCCCTCATACAGACACTCAAACTTCTTCAGCAGATTTGATCTAAATGTGTTCAGCTGATTTTGTCTGGAAAATACCACATAGTAAAATGAGTTAATAAGCATTTTGTATTTTTATTTTCTTGATTAAATCGTTTACAGAAATAGTTTACCTGATATTACACTGTGTTTCTCTATTCTTAATATTTATTGGATGATTCATAAACTTGTCACTCCTCATAGACACACGGCTGGCCTCTGCTTCTGTTCTCTTGTGATGAAATAAACTACCACAAATACAAATTAGCAAAGTACAAATATTTTACTTGAAATGGCCATTTTCACAGAGTTTAAGTTTAATTATACACAGAATTTACTGTTCTCGTGTTGTGCTGCGACTAGAAGTGCAATTCTAGAAAAAAAATCTTAAGGTGACCTCAAATTTGTTCTAAAGAACCTCTATATTTATTCATTAACATAATAAAGTACAACAAATACTGCAGCTACAGCTAATTAATTACTGCTACATTTTGATAGTTTAACTTTATTATCCTGTTTAAAAAGTAGCAGACACATCCCGGTCGAGCTCTTGTATGTAAACACTAACCATCAAAAGATAATTTACTCACAGGAAAGAGGAAACTATTTAGACAAGGATGACAAGGAAA